AATGCGAAGCAATTACCTAATCGGGGGAGGGTGAGACCCTGCTAATTGCCAAGCGGCATTTGAAAGGCGCTATCTATGGGTGGGAAACAGAATGAACCACGTTGTAGTGGAGGGGAGTAGACCTCTCGGTGACGTAAAAGGTACAAAACGGATGGCCGTGTCAGTTGAGTCCCGCTCTAATGACTCCTAGTTAAGTCTATTGCGGCTCTGACTATGAGGTGGCCTGGGGTTGAACCTCCGTGGTAAGGTGAGGAAGACCATTCAAATGGCTCTGACGATGAGGCGGCCCGGGGTTGAACCGCCGTGGTGAGGTGAGGAAGACCATTCAAATGGAGACTTTGTTTCTCAAATCCATTTCTTATGTTCCTGACGTGTTCTTGTATACACACATGGAGAGGATGAATAGTAAACAAGACCACATGGGCACACAATGATATACACTACTTTCTTTGAGTAACATGTGATCAATTCATTAATTTTAAAATTCTGTTTTGAATTCTTTGGATGTAGGAAAGATGTAACATGCCTTTTTTTATTTTGAGTGTTTCTACAGGCTCTGCAATTTCCACAGCCAAAGAAGCCTTTTGTGTCGTTTAAGAAGTGTGTATTTTCTTTTACTTTTATGTGGTTGTGTACTAAAGTTCTATTAAGACTTGGGACTCCTCTATAGACCACAGTTGGTTTTTCCAGGAGTATGGAATTAAGTGTATCGTCTTATTTTTTTTTTTTTAATTTAAGATTTTTATTGGTTTTTACAATTGTAAGTACAACATTAGTAACGCGAGAATATAGTATGAATGCTTAGGTAAAGCTTGAAATACATTAAACAAATGCAATGGTACATCTTGGTGAAAAGTTACAACAAATTACAGAATAAGGTTATCTTAAAAGTACTAATAATAGGTAACGACATTGCTTCCAAAGTTATCGTAATTGTACATAGTTGATTAGAATAGATGTGATACCATATGATACAGTTGTGTGATGATTAGCTTAAACAAACAAAACAATTTAATGGCGAATCGTTGCATCATCTGGTTAAAGTACCAGGACCTTGTTTTTGATAGATATTATAAACTGAGGTTACGGTAAACTTCCGGTTGGTTTAGATATATGGATGTATGCTAGGGATATCGGTTTTAGGCTTTGGATCTTGCGATCCTACCATCCATCCAGAGGAAAGAGGGCTTGTCTGGCTAGATAGTTTGATTGTGAATTCAGTTGGGTCTTAAGTCAGGTTGTTGTGTGTAACTTAGGTGTAGTAAAATTGTTCCACGGTTCCCAAGTCTTGGTAAATTTCCCATAATTCCCAAATTTGGCATGTGTTAGTTCCTCCATCTGCTTGATGTCCTCCACGCTTAAAATCCATTCCCTAACTGAGGTTTTTTTTTGTTGTTTCCAATATTTAGGTATTAATTTAGAGGCTGCCATGGCTAAATGGTTGAAGAGGGCTACTTCGGTTTTTGTGAGTCCCTGTGGAGCTAGAAGGAAGATATAGTGGTTGGGTGCACTAGGGAATTTGTTATGGAAAATTGTTTGTATAATAGTATGTATTCTGTTCCAAAATGTGGATATTATCGGGCATTGCCACCAGATATGTGCATGGTGTGCTTCCGTCTGATTGCATCTCCAGCAGAGGTCCGAGGTCGTATTATGTATTTTATGGATTTTAGCTGGCGAGAAGTGCCAGCGGCTATACGTTTAAAGTTACTCTCCTGTGCTGTCAATTAAGTGGTTGATTTATGTGTGGTTATGAGAATAGTGCGCCGTTGTTGTGTGAAGCTTGTTGTTAGTTTGTCTGCCCATTTTAACATATATCTTGGTAGGTTCTGTTCTTGTATTTCCCTAATTACTGTGTACATAGTAGATAGAATCTTTTTCGTAAGTGGATGAGAGGTACAAAGATGTTCAAATCTTGTTAACGGTCTTTCTCTCCTAGGTAATAATTTCTGGGTTGTAATAAAGTGGAATCCCCCTTGCTCCTTGCTTTTGATTAGTGTTGCTTGAGCTAAACGAGAAGGTGTATTGGCCCATATGAACTTTACTAAAGTGGATATGATTGTGTTGGGATCGTGACGGGGAGTGTCTGGAGGAGATATAGTATGCGGGGGAGGAGGTTCATTTTTATTATATTAATCCTGCGGAGCCAAGCAAAGCAGGGTTTATGCCAAGTTTGAAGGTCTTTGGTGATGGTTGATATCAATGGGGGGAAGTTTAAATAATAGATGGAGTCCAGTCTGGTTGGGATATGTATTCCTAAGTATTTGATGGACTAGGATGCCCATGTGAAGTTAAATCTGTTTTGTAGTTGTGTTTCAAGAGTTTTTGTTGTGTAGATTGGTAAAAGGTCGCATTTGGTTAGGTTGGCTTGGAAGTTGGAGACTTTACTGTATGTCTCCATTTCTGTTAAGATTGAAGGTATTGTTGAGATCGGGTTTGAAATGGTAAAGAGGAGGTCGTCTGTGAAGGCTGTGATCTTGTATTCGTGTGTGTATTGTCATTTTTAAGAATGGGCCAGTATCTATTTAGGATTCTTCTAACTTGCTTACTTTTACAATTAAAATCACATATAAATACTGGCTCGTTCCTATTTGTGCTTTTGTTTTTCTCCTTATATTCTAACAACAAGGATCTATCTTTTAACTTAACTTGTTCATATGCTTCGTTCAGTAGTCTATCCTCATACCCTTTCTCTCTAAAATTCTGTATGATTGTAGATGCTTGATTATGGAACATCTGGTCATCTGTGCAGTTATGTTTGATCCTAAGTAATTGTGCCTTAGGAGCATTAAGGAGCCAAGGTGAAAAATGGCAACTGTTCTCTTGTATGTAACTGTTTACATCTACTTTTTTTAAAAACGTATTCAACTTCAGTATTCCATCTTCTACATATATATTTAGGTCTAGGAAATTGACCTGGGATTTGCTAAAGTGAGTAGTGAGCTTGATTCCCCAATCGTTAGACTCAAGGTGGGATAGAAAAGTTAGGAGGGATTCCTTGTCGCCTCTCCAAATGAAGAACAGATCATCAATGTACCTGCGATAGGTCACGAGGTTTGCCTCCCATCTGCTGTCTCTATAGATGAACTATTGTTCCCAATGGGACATAAAGAGATTAGCATAACTGGGGGCAAACCTCGTGCCCATCACAGTGCCACATACTTGGAGGTAAAAATTGTCACCAAACCAAAAATAATTGTTTCGGAGTATACAATCTATTCCTTCAATAATGAAGTCTATTTGGTCAGGATAAAGAACACTAATTAAATACAGCCAAACAAAAGTACACTAAATACAGGGGGGTAACCCCTCGTAAAACTGAGAACACTGGAGAATAATGTACCTATCCACTGGGAAAGGGGGGGGTAATAGTATGTGCCTAGACTACATAATAAATGATTAGAGCACAGTAAAAAAACCAAAAGGTTAGAAAAAACAAAAAAGTTTTATTATAAAGTAGCAACAATATGTATCTATACAGTAGATACTAACCCAAGGCTAGATAAAATTAAAAAAAGTAACATTAAAAATAAGACCCAAAATAAAGAGAAAAGAGTATATAATGTGATAAACTGAAGTAGTCTAAAATATCTTGAAATATAATAGAACTAATAAGCTATAGCACACGTCTGTGCCACACAGGGAAGACCTAATGCCAAATGGCCACGATACTGGGAGGGTGATAAAGTGTAGAAGAGACCCAGTTAGACATATGTAGGAATAAGACCTACCAATGTAAAGACGGGTAAATGAAATGAAAGATGTATGGTATCAGTATAAACAAAATATAGAAACATACGACCATGCAATGTGGCAGAGTCAGGTATGATTAAGAGTACTGCAGTACTTCCAATAGACTAAAATTCTTAGTGGAAGAAGATCTAAATAGCGTGCTAAAAACCCTAAAAGCGAGTATAAGCGGAAAAAGTGTCCATAGGAATAGTATTGAGCCGATATAGATTCGGTGATCAGCTAGAGTGACTGTCTGTAACTGGTCCGGACAGAATTCCCAGATATAAGAAATATAAATAGACAGAAAATTCCAATACTCTAATCATTTATTATGTAGTCTAGGCACATACTATTACCCCCCCCCCCCCTTTCCCAGTGGATAGGTACACTATTCTCCAGTGTTCTCTATTTGGTCAGGATGAAACTTCTGGGAGCCCTCTAAAAATTCTCTAGTTGCCAAGCAACCTCTATCATGTGAAATTACGGTGTAAAGAGAGGTTACATCTGACATCACCAAATAGAAGTTCTCTTCCCATTTAATGTTTGTAAGAACTTGTAGGATACTAATGGTGTCCTTAAGATAATTGGGGCATTGCTGGACGATATTTTGTAAATTTCTGTCTATATACAGTTGAAGACAGTTGGCTCGATATAGACCCAATCCCTAATATTATGGGCCTCCCGTTGGATTTTTTGTGTCCTTATGTACCTTTGGGAGTTAATAAAACACAGGTATTTTGGGGTGTGATATATTTAGGAATTCATATTCCTTTTTGTTTAGTATGTTCTTCACTTTCCCTTTCTCTATCAGTTCACTGTAGCTGGCTTTGATGTCACTAGTGGAATCTATATTGAGAGTTTTATATGTGTTCGTGTCACCCAGAATTCTATTGGCTTCCTTAACGTAGTTTGTGTACTCTAAAAGGACTATCCCTCCGCCCTTGTCTGCTGGTTTAATAACAAGTGTATTGTCGCTTTTAAACTGTTTTAGGGCTGTTCTTTCTTTCGAGTTTAAATTGTACTCATATCTATTTAATCCCTTGATTTTAGTTATGTCATGCATAACCATTCTTTCAAATGTTATCATCTAATCTGAGATGCAACATTTGGGGAAAATTTGGATTTTTCTTTTAGATCTGTGTGAATGAAGTCTGACTGTTCTACACAGTTTATATTAGATTGCTCGGGGTGTTTCGCAAAGAACTTCCTGAGACATAACTTCCTTTTGAATCGATTTAGATCGATAAACATATTGAACTTGTCAATACCCTTTGAGGGTGCAAATTTAAGTCCCTTTTCTAGCAGTGAATGTTGGGGTTGTGTTAAAGTCCTATGTGTCAGGTTGAATATCCCATCATTCTTGGTTAGTGTCAATGTCTGTATTTCCTTTCTTTTCTGTGTGAGTTCCTCCTCTATTCCCCCATCTTCTGGACTCCTTTGTCTCTTTCCTGGGGATTTCAGGGGGAATATGTTCTCTTTGTGTCTGTCCCTCATATAGGATGTTTGAAAATCCTCTCCTCGTGATGGTCTTTCCAGATAGTTAGATCTATTGGATGAAAGGTGTGTGGGGGATTCATTTCTTGGGACATATTTCTTAGGTATTTGGGTACCCCTATTGTATTCAATAGTTGAATCTTTTCTCTGTCTATCTCTGTGTGTGTGTTTATTTTCTTTAATTAGCCTTTCTGGGGATTTGTGACTTTTAACCATTTGTGCATAAGAGGGTTGGTATTCTCTAGGTTGTCTATATGGTTTTGGTGGAGAGGGTTTCCGGTCTGTTGTTCTATATTCCCTTGTTCTTTTTTGTGGAGTATGATATGTAGGTTTTAGGGTATCTATTCTTTGGTGTTTCATATGCCTATTTGGGGTCTTATAGCTATCTTTTGTCCTATAGTTACTCCTTTGTGTATATTGGCGGGGCACATGGTTTTTGTTGTGAGACCTCACTTGTTTTCTAGAGTAATTCGTAGGGTCTCTTTGATATTTTATTTTCTTTATTTCAATTACTTTATTTTCTAATTTTTCTTAATTAGTTTGTATCTCTCTAGTTGTCTGTTCATATTCTTCTGAAGAAGTGTTTGAAATTAGAATATTCTGTAGTCTATTTATTTCTACATCTAGTTTCATTAAGGTGTATTTTCGTCTCTCTACGATGAACTCCATTAGACTGAAGGAGAAACTTTCCAGTAACTCCATTCATTCATTAATTAAGTCTTCCTCCTCTTGGTCAAAAGATGGGTTTTTGGAGAACTTAAGTCCTCTAGGGGTGATTTTCTCTTTGATATATTTCTCTAATGTGGCTATCTCCCACTTGATCTTTATTTCCCTACTTAACACCTTTTCTAAAGCAAATTGACAATCATTTAGTTGAAATTTTAAACCTTGATTTTCCTCACTGGAGTTTATTGCTTCATTAGCAAACAAAACATCAATGTTTTTACCACATTTGTTTCTGTTTTCAAACAGTGTCATATTATAGATATTAGCAGCCTACACAAAAAATGAGAGAAAACAGTATAGAGATAGCAAAAGTAGTATTGTGTTTTCAGGTGCTTAAAATTAATGTATCAGTGGACAAAATTGTGCTGCTACCACCAGTGTGCAATTCTCTCACAGCTTGACACAAATATATAGAGTGTAATAGTTGACTGTGTGGTCAAAAACAAACACCAGTCAGTAGGTGGAGCGCTCAAAACAGAGTAACTCACCCCCCCTTGGGCTTGATAAATAACCTAGAGGTGGGGATGAGATAAAACAGAATAGAATAGTATAATAAGTTTTAATGGGACGCTAACGTCATATGACGAAAACGTAAATGATGAAAGCAGAACACAGCCGCAATCAATCTGAATCAACTGAGAAACCAATCAGACTTCCACTGAAGATACAAAAGGAGAGCGGGAACACCGGAGCTCATACTGATTGAGGAAGCCGACCGGCGAAACACGTCTCGGACCGTCAACACGATTGAAGATCTACTTATATTATTTTATTATTGTTTTTGTTTTTATACTGTTTTATTTTTACTCTAAATAAATTTTATTTTACGATATCTCTTCCTGTGGACGTGAGCATCCAGTGTTCCTGATATCTGCAAACAGGGTTCTGTGTCCCCTTAGTGACACAAAAGCTATCATAAGCAGAGCCAGGGTTTAGGCTCTGAATAAGGTGAGCAGTTCTATTTATCTCACTGCCCCTTTTGGAATTCACCTACGTATTGCACCATATTTTGGTTTTCTGTCTCCTTAAAGGAAAAGTACAGCAATCATCACCTTTAGGTTTCTTGTTATCCTAAACACGCCTGCCCAAGTGATCTGAGCCTGTCCTGTTGAGGCTCAATACTATGTGAGTCAGTCCATATATTTCTATTATAATCTCATTTAATGAAAACGTATTATACTATTCTATTCTGTTTTATCTCATCCCCACCTCTAGGTTATTTCACAAGCCCAAGGGGGGGTGAGTTACTTTGTTTTGAGCGCTCCACCTACTGACTGGTGTTGTTTTTTGACCACACAGTCAACTGTTACACTTGATATATGCAATGGACTAGTGAATACCATATAGACTCGGATGCTGTAATAAGCGACCTAAGCTATAAAAGGTAAGTGCTTGCTAACTTCCCCAAAAGGGGAAGGAATTGACAGCATGCAGTATAATAGTTATTGGGAAAATCACAAATAACCTTGTTATACCTTAACGAGGGCCGGCTGGGTATTTAAGCTTGGTAACCCCTTCCACAAATACAGGCTATTAGCCTTAATACTTGCGAATGTACATCCTGCCAGATATATTTGGATCCATTTTCTTTAGAGAAAAATGGTAATTTAGAAATATTCTGAATCCTATACTTTGTATAGGTTTCAGATGGGGAAGCACTGATTTTAATCCACACGCAGAATGCGTCCGGCTGATTGCTACAGATTGGGTCAGACTGACCTAATACTGACTTGATTTGGCTTTAGAAAATAAAATAATTGCAATTACGGTCATAATCCGGCCACCCAGACAAAATCCAGTGTTTAGTGAATGACCTTGTAAGTCCGGTTTCAATAGAACAGGAAACACATATGCTATTAATACATATAATAAACAACCAATCAGAAACTGTAATTGAATCACCGATTACTTGTCAGAATCCCCCTTATTTAAAGTGAAAGTGTCTGTTTAAACTGCTTGGTGTGGCTGAATGCAGTATGCTTAGACTTGACAAAAACTCATATAGGCGTCAAAAAGGTTTTTATTTCCTGATTCCAAATAAAGATTGCCTTCCAGAAGAAATTACCCCGTGTGCACATTTTGGACTTTTATTCCATTGAATATTTGGGAAACTGTCCCTTCCCATCTGGAGCACCATGGTTAAAGTATTTCCCCTTACAGTGTGTGCACTGTTCACTCCATTCTGCTTACATGAATGCTCTATGCTGGCTGGAAGTCTAGGTTATCTATAAATATTAGAATTTTTGTTTAACAAATGGAATTCAGCTGATCGGTCAGAAATAACGATATGCTGTCTCTTACCTTTGAAATATGGTATAGACCATCTTTAAAGTGTTATATGAGGCAGCATAGCACCACCTTGTAACTAGTATAAGTCAACAAGGAATGATTGTATTCGGTATAGTGAATGCAACTAATGATTCCTCCTAGGGTATCTCTTCGTGCTGTGAAGTTCATTGCATTGAGATGTACTCCTAGCACGGTGTAGGAATATTTACCATGGAAATCACATTCTGTATGTTACCTGCACAGATAAGTTGAGTTTAACTTGCCTATAAATTGATCCCTAGCTGCTCTCCAAGGTAGAAGCCAAGGCTAAACATTGTATGGAACAGAAAGAACAGCAGCAATAATCATTCTTCCTGAGATTTAAGCACAACAAGGTCAGAATAATAATGTAACTATAATATAACATTCTGTTAAAGTAAAAAAACTACAATCGCTAGTCAGATACCAACCAAACAGGTTATTATAGGACACAAGGAAGACAAATGTCCATCTTAAGTGGTGTAGCAAGATATAGTCTGACAAGTTACTAGATAGTAAATAGAAACAGCAACGTACCCCAAGATTCATGATTATTGTTAAGTAAAGTATTTTTGACAAATATGCTCTAACCCTTATTATGACACTTTATTGGCAGTGTGAGAGTGTGGAATATATTCCTTTGCAGCATGAATTTTCATCTTTAGTAACCTAATAGAATATTATTTCTCTCATCATCTTACCTCCAAAATTACACAGGAATCTAGTGTTCTACAAAATCATGAGATAAGATAGACGGAACTTCATTTTAAATATTTTGTACCCTATGCAGCACTCCTTGTCTAGCAAGATGTCTTGTCTGAGAAATTCTGATCCAGCGTCTCTAACTTGTCAGAATGCTCAAAGATGAACTCTTCCTTCCTCTTTTTTTCTCTGGTATCTTATCTGGTCTTGCAGCTTGATACTCCAGTTTGCTGTATTGGAACAGTGATCATAGTGACACATGGGTGTGGGAGATAGGGTGCCCATGTGTGTCAGCTTTAATGGAAGTGCAAATCGTACCTGGAAACCAACAGATTCCATGCACTTGAGAGATCATATGACCTAAGATGTACTTGCAGCTACAGAGAGATGCAAGTCATGATAGGAAAGAAACAAAAAATTCTCACAATTGTTTCAATATATTTGGACTGCAAGAGCCCACAAATTTGCATCAAATATAAACAGAAGTCCAAAAGGTCACGTGCACTGGAGGTGAGAAAAGCCAAAGTTCGGTAACCAATTAACCAGAGAGAGTAAAATGCTCTATTGGGCTAAACAAAAGACAACAACAGGGCACTGAGGCAAGGGGGAAGTTAGCTTATATACACAAAGGGTGTGTCTGATTGGCTAACCTCCAATGAGTGTTAACCACAACACGTGGGAGGTATTTCTTACCTCCCTTGTGGTCTCTGAGGTCATCACTGTGTGCTGGGTCACATGACTGGGTCTGGCACACATATAAGGATGCTGCTCTGAAGCGAGCGGTGGCTCGGGGGCAGTGGACCTGACACCACTAGCCATTGGAAAGGGAAATTCAGGCCTCGCAAATAGAAATTTACTTATGGATAGTGTGCTGCCCTATTGCCGACCCTCTAGACCAGCAGTGGCAAATAACTTTTAGGCTTGGCTTGCAGCAAAGGACTTCAGAAATTGAGGTCTCCCTACATATATTTAGGTCCTTTCTGGCAAATCAATCAAATGCAGGACTCGAGTCCTGCAGGAATGTGTGGGAACGGCGTTCCTGCACTTTTTTTACAGCAGGAATGCCGTTTCCCATTCCTCCTGCAGGCACTCGGGGGACGGCAAAAAATGCCGCCCCCAAATGCCCCCGTGTTACCCCTGTCATGGGGGGGCCCAAGAGGTGGCGTAATGGCCACCTGGTGGACCCCCTGGCGGGCACCTGTCTCCCTATCAGACGTGGCGAGTGAGTTGTGTTCTCTCTGCTCTACTCCCTCACACGCGCTGTTTGCTGATGCCGGGAGCTGGAATATGATGTCATATTCCGTCTCCCGGCATCAGTAGACAGCCCGCGCGACGAGAGCGGGGACTCCACTGAGCGGGGACGCACCGAAAGGCAGGCTATTTTAGCTGCTGTCTGTTCTCAGAATACTCTTGCGACCCATTTTTTGCTCTCCAGTAAACAAAGTGCAGGAACGCCGTTCCCACACGTTCCTGCAGGACTCTGAGTATGTGTGTTCGTGTCTGTGAGTGTATGTGTGTGTGTGTCTGAGTATCTGTGTGTGTCTGTGTGTGTGTGAGTGTGTGTGTCTGTGAGTGTGTGTGTGTTTGTGAGTGTGTGTCTGTGAGTGTGTGTCTGTGAGTGTGTA